ACCCTGTATATATGGGACACCCTATATATGTGTATATATATACAGGATGTCCCAGAACTAGTGTTAGGCCTTGAAATGGGGAGGAGCCATGGTGATTTCAAACAACTTTTTCGTTTGCAAAAATGTTGTCCGAGGCGTGGTTGTCGAGTTATTAAAAAAAATTACCGACCAACCAGAGCGTTCGTATACAAGGAGCGCGATAACCGCCTCGTGCGTTGCCGCGGCCCGTATGCCACGCTCGTGACGAAAACATAGGATTAAAACAAAACTTACATGCAAGAGCAACTAAGAAATTGTTTAAATATTACAGAAAACAAAGCAATTAGTCGTTAGTTACGTTCACTGAATAAATGCAACATATTCAATCAAATAACTTACAACTTTGTAAATTACAGCGTAGTTAAAATTATAAAAACATGGGAAGAGAATTAGAGTTGAAATCAGTCGTTCGTCTTTCAGTTCATCTGCTCCTAAAAGAATTTCAGTAGGTCAATGTGCCGAAGCCTGACACTCGAAACTAAAACACATGGCCATATCTGTCAGTGACCTGCTCTAAACATCACTGCTGCCCATGTGTTTTATCTTCAAGTACCGGGTTATATATATCTATATAAATATAAAAATCTCTCTCTCTATATATATATATAGTATATATATAGTATATATATAATATATATAGAGTGAGAGAAACTAATCCAAACAATTCGTTTAGTCGTGCATGAATATTGTTCGGAACGCTCAGAAATTGGCGCCATTGAACTGGGATACAGTTTAGGTTCGTAACGCTCCTTATGAGCGTTGATAAGCCTAATCCTCCGTGCGCTCTTGCTGTGTTTCGCAAGGACCACACGTGACGTCGTTACGTTGTTCGCGAATAATTGTTTTCCGCGCACCTTGTACGATGTGCCTCGTATACGCCAATTACCAGTTCCTTCTGCTCTCAACCTTAGTGTCAATCGGATCTTCCAATTCCGCTGTAGAGCATTAACGATTTTGTTTAAGAAAATTGAAGTGTAACGTCACCTCGACCACCAGAGTGAAAAAATGTCTCAGATCCAACAATATCCGAGTCTTGAGATAAGACTGTTCCAGCATTGCGTGATTGCTATTGAATTCTCGCAACAAATATTATAAGTGGCAATCCTGCTTAATAGTTAACGTTCGATATCATTAAATGTGTTCCAAGGTAAAGAACGTAAATTTTACAAACAGTACGCGAAAGGTCATGCCAATAATGACTATTATTAATCTATCGACAGTTCTAAAAAGCGTACAACATATTCCACTTTAATAGAATCTTGCAAAATTTTTCCAACTAGAAGTTTTCTTTATTCTTTACACATGCAGAAAAAATATTTGTTATGATGCTTGCCGAATTCATCTCAGTGATCTCTTAAAAGGTGAGTGTACGAAATTGTAGATATACCTACAAAAAACTCAAAGTGACCTTGATAACTTTGGGAAAAAAGGATTGACAAAAATTTGATACAATCATCTTAAGCTCTACTTGAACCATTTTAATTTCGTTGAAAAATCTTCCGACAAAATCGCTAACAGCAGAATAATTTAAGCTGATCACGCTTCGTGGTCCACCCTATACATAATACATCAATGTGTATCCCTATTCCAGAGAGTCTTTTATTGAGAGAGCACGGAGGAGTCAAGCCAAGTTGATAGTCGAGGAACGTAGGGACATTCTCCGGCAACTCTGCAATAACATTGGCTTTCACGAAGTCCACCGGTACCTTTTACTAGTATTTGTAAATAATAAAGTGCCACCAGCGTTACCACGTCGATCGATTTACGCGATTTTGGGGAAAGTAGTGGGGAGTTACTGTTACGTCCCGAACTGTCGGTTCTTGTCTGGTTAAAGTGCTTAAGCACACTTTGACCTTACTATCTAGTTTCTGGGAGTAACTAGTGGGTAAATAAAGAGTGACACGATTATTTAGTTCAAATGAGAATTTATATATTCTCAGATATTGTGACATACCAGTTACTTATGCGATTCTGTTTAGTCAGTGGTTTCATCGGTCAGAGGCCTTAGCGCTAACGAATCGTTCGCGATACATTATGACGACACTTATGAATTCATAGCGATCTTAGGCAAGTGCGTTCGTCCCCTGGGTAAGCCGGTTAAAAATCTTGCGATTCGGGGAATCTCTGAACGATGCCTTCTGATTGATGTGGACCCGGACAGAACTCGCGGATAATAAATCGAAAACCGAATTGCTATGCATGTACTCATGGCCGGGTTTTATAGCCTAAAAGATTACGAGTCAGCGTCCTATTTACTTTAATCATTTCGACATGTCCTGGATTTCAGGTGCATCTGAAATCGATGACTTACGTATGTCGAAATGATTAGTCACCACATTTCGACACTCGCTTACCGTCACAGAGCGTGTATATTACGAAATTGACAAATGAAAAGGAGCACAGCCCTTTCATAGGGACATAACATTACCATTTGTATACGGGCACTTTAGGGAGCATAAGAGAGCATGAGTAAGACAGAAAAAAAGAATTAGTAGTAGCGGAACGAAATAATGACAGTAGAAGAGGAGAAATCCCTCGCGAGAGATTTTTCAAGGCCAATTGCCACCACTATGTATCCATTATCGGAAGACCGGCCGATCGAATAAGTGCGGGAAAAGAAGCTCAGATCTGTATGGTGCAAATCGATTCGCGATTGGATCGATAACGTTCAGAAGAGAAGCCTATTACCGAAAGGTAGGGAACCGCGTACATCGTCACGACATCGACGACACTCCGGGATTTTCTGCCACAGAGAACAGTTTGATTCACACACAGTAGTCTCGTACTTTATCAATTTGCGCCCAAGACTACTGTAAACTTCACGGGCAATTACCCGTCCCTGTAGTGCAACTGTTTTCACTGAAAAAAAGTGATAGTGTCAACAATACTGTAACGTAAGTAAACTATCTTAACTTGACATTCTTATAAATATCTATAAAAAATATCGATAATTCATGTATTTTACAGACGGCTAAGTGTATCTTTAACCTGATATCTTCACGATATACGTGTCCATTGACTATCTATTGGTCGGTGAATAAACTGTGTACTTCACAGCTATATGAACATGATCGCATACGTGATCGCAGTGCTCTTTTACACTACCTGTGAGTGTTTAATTCCAAATAATACAAATGTAGGAACACTCTTTCAATCTTTCGACGAGGAGAGTCCGTATTTGAACAAAGTGAATAACATTGTTGAAAGAAAAGGAAGAGCTACTCTGTCTTATCCAAACACAGGTGTGAATGGAATGATGGGTTTCGCTAAAGCGGCACGTGTTACCGGTGGAACAGCAGGCCCTGTTGTGTTTGTGTCTACTGTCGACGAATTTAGAAAAGCTGTTGCGGGTTCAGATAAAAAAATTGTGGTTATCAATCGCAACTTGATTGCTAATACTCTGACGAAGGTTTCCTTCGGCGCGAACAAATCAATTATTGGTTCGTACGGTAACAACATTTTGCACAACGTGCATCTACGGGCCAGTCAAACCTCAGGAAATGTTATTTTCCAAAATATCGTTTTCCGGCATGATGAGAAAATTAAAGATAACGATGACATCCAACTGTATCTGAACTATGGAACGGGTTATTGGGTAGACCATTGCTACTGGCCTGGACATAACTGGAATGGTGCTGACGGTAGTACAGATAAGTTAATTTATGTTGGAGATAAAGCGAACTATGTGACTATCAGCCACTGCCATTTTAAAAGTCACAAATACGGCTGTATTTTCGGTCATCCTGCCGATGACGAAAACATGCAATATCTCGGCTATCCACGTATAACTATTTGTCACAACCGCTTTGAAAATATGGAGGTTCGTGCCCCAGGACTGATGCGCTATGGTTACTATCACGTGTACAATAATTATATCAATAATTTCCATCTGAGTTTCACCTTCTTGTCACACGCCAATATTGTCTCCGAGTCAAATTTCTTGGGTGCAGGATCTGAGAACAGGGGACATTTAGATGACAAGGGGAATGCAAAATTCACAGATCGTGATAGTGTACCTAAGCTGACTGCAAGATTGTCATCCCCGGCCGACTGGACACCAAGTTCTAACTATAATTACAAACGTATGACTGCTGCCGAAGCGAAGATCTGGAATATTGCACATTCAGGAGTGGCTGCTTCTGCAAATCAACTTCATTTCGCTGAATAAGATTTGTCAGTAATCGACAGGACAGGGCATTAGTGAAGGGGAGCCTAAAATTTAAATTGCTTAGATGTCTGTTTTTTATCTGTTCACTACAACGACAGAGATAGGCGCGCTAGATATGAAAAGAAACTTATGATATTCACTCCAAACTGCCAAGAGTTTCGTCTATTACGGAAAACATAGTATTCAGTTACTTTGAACGTATTGCTGTATAAAGAAAAACTTCATACATGGCCAGTTTTGTTGTAAATAAATACTAGAAAATGTTGTTTTGTGGTTTTACTCACCAACCTGAAAATGAAATAAAATTCTTAGCACTTGTATACCAAAATTAAAGAATATAAAATAAGTAAAAATAATATTCACATATTTAGTGATATTCATAAGTAAAGAGAGTTAACAAGAAAATCAAAGGGACTGAACAAAAGAATAGGAAACGTTCTAATCGTTGTAAGAGATAACGAAATAAGATAGTGTCATGTAGGAATCGTAAGTAGAAGCGACACCAACTTTTAAAGAATGAGATAAGGAAAAGAACGTGAGGGAGATAAAGAAAGAGTAGGGGCAGAGAAGACAACGAAATAGGGAGAATCAATTTCACATCAGACCTTGACCAATTCTAAAGATAGAATCCTTGTTAGGAGATAGTCTAACTAAGGTTCAAATCTAGAGAGAAACAGGATGTAAGCAATAAAAAATTTGTATTAGACTTAATTTATTTTCGACCATTCTGCGGTAGAACCCAATCACTGTACAAATAAGAAATGAATCAATACGATTATTGATGTCAATCGGGTCGATTGCGTTCTCAGCCCTAATTAAGGTCCTGAGGGATTAATGACTATCACTATTGTTAAAAATACGTATAAGTCGGAGGGATCCGCATGCGAATCATGCGTCTCCGCACGTATTGTGGAAGAAACGGAGGTTATTAGACGGAGGAATTTACGGTCAGTTAATTCCTCAAAATATTAAAATATTACGTGTTCGCGAGAATTTCAAATAAAAGTTACGTTAAGCCGATTATTATGATAAGTTTCTTCTACCTCGCCGTCCATTTCTTCTAGGCGCAAGCCGTTAGTCATACGAGCGGGTTACGAGTGCGAGAGAGCAGAGTAACTATTAGAGAGACAGCCGCGTATCGGCACTTCGAACAGCGAGCGATTTAGCTGATTATTGTTTCGTGGGGTATCGTATGAGTACCGTCGCACAATGGGCCAGATCGAAGCATTAGCTATTCATAACGATTCTAGCATTATTCTAGAACATAAACATTACAATATATAGGTCGTTGAATTCGTCGGGCATAACATACTATGACTAAAATAGTTAAGTTAATATTAACAAGAATAAAAAAATGAAAAAAGTCTTTTTAATTTTTTTATAGTGTTATAATTTGAAAATTAGTGTACATGTGTTGTTACAATTATTATTTTATTAAGATTAACAGCAGAGTAATATAAATTTGATAATACAAAATTAAACAGTGTATTTTCTTGGCAAAAAAACTCTTATGGAATTGAAACTAGAAACAATCTTTACTTCGCAGGACTCAGTTTGAGACAGGCATCGCATATTTTTTCGGTCGGCCGGAAAGTGGGGACGACGCGACCATGGTGGGGTCTGGTACTTGATGGGGATATGCTAGGAATGGTCAGCGAAGGCGCATGAGGGGAGTAGTAGTGGGGCTCGAAATACGGGCGAAAAAGGGCCGGGAAGCGAGCCGTGCACGAAAAAATATGCGCACCCTGGTTCGAGACTGCGACTCCTTACAGCAGAGATTAACTATATTTGGTATAAGATATGCAACTATCATTCACTCAAGTATACATGGTGATCAACCACAGTCGATAACTGCGTACTATCGAATGCGACGACAATTTATGTATTCCCCTTAACAATATAATACAATTATATGGACTTATATCTATAGAAAAAACACAATATCTTTTAATTAACCTTTATTGATGAACTTTTATTTATGAGTTATTTGTTATGTATCACACTATTTACATAAGATGAAAGCAAAAATCTGTCTCAAATCCTCATCATCTTGGAGGTCGTCTCTCAACATTAATTTTTGCAATGTCTTCGTCGAGAATATGAAAACGTGTCCATTTTTTTCGAATTTTGCGGTTTTCCGCAGAAATTGAAAATATTAAAATATCGGATGAATACATCAGAGTAAGAATAAGGTCCAACATTGTTACAGATCGTGAAAATTTCTTGGCGTGGTCTCTTTTAATGCTTCTGAAGTCTTTATTTTTTGCCTCCATTGCCTCTTCTGAAAACATTCCGATTGGTAAAGCAGTGGACTTTATTATATCTGCACCATGGAACAGAATTTTGTGTAGACTTGATGACATGTAAAACCAGTTATATTCTGTCACGTATAGATGAAATGTTGTCATTGCATATTCATGAAATAAATTGGGACTAATTTGTCTATAACTTGACAGAGCAACTAAAATTACACCAATTCTTCTAATTAATTCTTAAATGTGATCTAAACTATTCGTAACATAAACATTTTCATTCTCAACATCCGCTGCATGGTACAGGTAACGCGTCTCGCCGATGAAATGCTTATCGCCCAACACTTCAAACAATATTAACTTTTGGGACAAGGGGATAAGTAAATCTTTCACGCTCTTGTAGAGTATTTAACGCTGAAAATATTCCACTTTAATAGAACACACAACACTTTAAAACTTTAAACATATCTCTTGTTGAATGTGAAAAACAGTGACAACATTCTTCAGTTCATTGAATAGCATTTTCTTAAAGAAATCCTGGACCAATACTTTTTTATTCCACCTGCATTTTGAATAAAGACATATACTATTCATAAGAAGGAAAAAAACACGTAATGTGTAATAAATTTCCCAGGGCATATCAATATGAAGAAGAGCAACTTTCTCGCTGGAATATGGTGCTCGTAAGAGTTTGGTCTTTCAACGTTTGTTCTAACAACGATGTTTGAAGATTGAAATGGTGTCCATGGCTTAAGAGCATTGCTCGGCCTGCAAT